AAAACAAGGCAAGAAACCATCGTTAAGATACCAGAAAGTGATCAACCCACCAAATTGTTCATCTCTCTTTTTCTTGTTTCAGTCAAGATAACTCTACAACTACTTTATCAGTAACATCAGTTTAAATCTAAATCAACTCTTGGGTGTTTCTGGGCAGTGCATGATGTCATTGCTTAGTCGTAATAACTAGTAATAGTTAAAAAACAAATCATAATTCTAGTTTGAAAGATGTTATCATTACCCATTGACATTACATTTTTTACAGAAATTTGATGTTTTTTTAAAAACACAAGTATAGGTGAAATGGTAATTACCAACCAATAATAGATGAACGTTAGATGGCTCTAACATATAGAATACTCAATGCTTTGTACACTATACAATCGAAAAAACAGGTAATAAAAAAACATTTTGTAAATGTAAAATGATGTAGGTATGGCAGTGTCAAAAAAGAATGCAAACAAGAATAATATTACTGCAGTTGGAAATTATATATTCCTGACTGTTGATATGCAGTTTGTTTATCATAATATCATGGTCATGTCAGGGTAGGCATTGGTGTAGTGTAACTAAGAGCATAGGATGTACATACAAGGAAAACCAAGTTGAGGTCAGTTGAATTGACAGACCTCATAATCATTTTGTGCTCATGCATTTTACAGTGTAACATTAAATTTTAATAATGAAAGTTGTGTAGGGATGATCTATGTATACCTGTATCATCACTATATTCTTGTTTGCATTCTATTTTTGGCACTTTCATCATTTTACATTTACAAAATGTTTTTTTATTACCTGTTTAATGTAACTCACTGTACATAACAATTATATCTAAACTTTGCAAGTTTTTATGAGATGATAACTTAGCTTGTAATTCATGTTTGACAGATGTTGTACCCCTTCTGGTCCATATGATAAATATGCCTGATTCACGATCACCAGAAAACCTAACAGCTACAGAGAATGCCATTGCTGCCATCACAAAGATTTTAGCCTATAACAGTAGCCAAATCTCAGTTGATGAAATTCTGCCCCTCTGGCTTAATTGGCTGCCTGTGTGGGAAGATGAGGATGAAGCTCCTCATGTCTATGGTTTTCTATGCACACTTCTTGAACAGTAAGTTGATATTATTTTGAATTATTTTATAACTAGAATAAAATTTTTTTTGATGGAATTCTAAGAGAAGTAATAAAATTGAGCCAAAGCAAGTTAAAATGTAAATGTTAGGTTCATTTTCCCAATTCTCTTTATTACAGCCTAGAAAAGCAACTGACAAAAATTAGGTTAAAAACAATATATTCCCTTTCGCTCTTTTTTTTTAGCAGAAAGTTAAACAAGCCCAGTTTAAACTTTTACAAGTATGAGCTCTTTTTCTTTTGTTCTGTTTTTGACATGGATATCAAAATATTGTAAATTTTCACTTGATGCAAGTTTTTTTTGTAGTTCCTACAGTGTTTCTTCTTAAACAGGTATAAGCTGCATTGCTAAATATACAGTTATTTAATGCAGAATATAATTTCAGTAACAATGATATTAGTAGCTGTCTCAGTGGAACTCTGTGTGAGTCCAACAGAATTAAAAAAAAAGTAATTTTTGATTTTGAAATGTTTATTTGCATTAAGTAACAGAAAAGTTTGTCAGGTTACTACTTTTCCATTTTTGCACTGTACTGGTCATTGGTGTTGAACATGTTATGCAATCAAAGCTCAAAGATATAAAAATTTTCCCTTTAAATCTTTAATTTTAGGAACAATCCAATACTGTTAGGCAAGGAAAATTGTAACTTGCCACATATAGTGGCTGTTATGGCTGAAGCTTTTTCTCGAGAGGCAGTAGACCCACAAACAGATGTTGGCAAGAAAATGGTCCTATTACTACAACATCTCCAGGTAAGGTTCAGAATATTATTCTGGTGGAAATATAATTTAATTTTTATATATTTAATAAATGTAGTGATGCTGATCAATTTGATGATAGTTTACTTCTTTGTTCTTCTCTTTTCAGAGCAATGGAGATGTATACACAGAATGTTTCAAACAGCTAACACATAGCCAGCAGCAAGCCCTACACCACATATTAGCCCCACAGTGATTACCTGATGAATGACTTTCTTTACATTACAACACAGATCCTATCTATGTTAAACAGAATTGTACATTTAAACCAAATTTAGTAATTATTCTCTGTATTTGGTTACTCTACTTCAACAAATAAATATTTAATGTTTTCTTGGTTTCTAGTGCAGAAGATAAACTTTCTAAAAACTGCATGAAGATATTTTTTTTTGTATACTTTATTTGAACTAGACAGAGAACAGACTTGTAGTAAAATCAACAAATTATAATTTCACTGTACCAGGATATGTGTAATGAAAAGTTTTAATAATGTTAATTTACCAGTTTTTTGTTGTTTTATGCTATGTAATAGTTTTGCCACCAATATATGAAGAAAGCAGTTACTACTGGAGCGGTACAGCTGCCTGTCATAAGCTGAGCATCACCTTATGTGATTAGCACTTTATTATCATTGGGTGTTCATTAATCTATCTGTGATATAAATTAAATATATTCAAGTAGAAGTATTGTGTAAATTATGGTAAACAAATAACAGATGAATTAATAAAATATGAGAAATGGTACAGTTGCTTGAAGTAGGCATAAAAAGATGAATAGATCAGATTTTGATATTGATATATAACAATAAATCTATTATTTCTTTATAAAATGATTGTGGTATTAAAAACTAATGTAAGATTTTGAGCTTTATGTAATTACATAATTGTTAAACTAATTTATTAGTGCAACTGGTGATATTATCATACTTAGAACAAGTTGATAAGTGGCTTTATAATCAATTTGTTACCTATTAAGGATAAATATGTAGGTACCATCTGTATATTATTAATGTGCAAGCTGGGTAGGAATAAGGCTCTTAAAGAGAACCTACCTCAAAGCCCTTTTGAGCTGTGTGTATATCAATGGGTATGTTTTGTAAACGGTTAAGTTTCTACCACACAGAAGAATACAAGTTATATAGCTCCTTGTGTGATGTAAGTGTCATTACTGTAATGAGGTAGCAGGTGTGTTTTAAACTTCTCTTAAGTAAAAAATAATATCACTCTGACAAACTTCAATCTCATATTTATAAAAACCTGAGCTTTTATTATATATGCATGTAAAACAGTCTTGTAACAAAATGCTTTAAAATATTAGACACAAAACAACACACTTTGATATACATAGCTTAAATTGTAATAGGCTACAAAAAAAACTAGCTGCATACACATAAAAGTTAGATTGCTACAAATGTAGTAAAACTTTGATACTTATTCATATATGTCATCACCTTACCATTTTACACAACTGCAATACAATCAGAAACTGGTCAACTCTGGTTTAAATATAAACAGAAAATCACTGTTTGTGTAACAAAACATAATGTGGCAGTCCAAACAGTTTCAAGTTATTCATTCACTAACATATATTTTGGTTGTGTGGTAAAGTTCTGTAATTTTAGAAAAGCTACAGTGGATGAGGTTATATGTTTAAAAGAAGAATTGGACGGAACTCATTTCAGTTATTGAAAGTGTTTATCTAGAGGATGCTGAGAAATTTGCAATAATATCCAGACTGCTGTTTGGTTGAAAGGCACAATTTAAATTAAACTATACAGAAAATACAAGGTGTTTATCTCAAAGGTCAGAGCTAGCGTCTAATGGTGGGTAATTTCCAGTTCCTAAAACACCATGATACCACATTGGCTGGGTTCAACTATTGAGAAGGTTATTATATTCCATTAATTAACCTTTTCTTGACTACAACCACCTCTGTATCATTTTAAAGTCTAATATAATTTTTATAGTTATAGGTAGGCATAAGGAAGAGTTTTATTGATGGCAGAACATACTATGTTTTGTTCGGCCTTAAATAAAATTCTTCTTTAAGCTTATAAATCATTGTTTGCCTACCTCTTATCATATTAGCATAACATATTTCCTTGCTCAAGTAACATTAACAATTGAGGAAATACACAAATTTTAACACAAGAATTCAAGAAAGAATCTATGGTACAGTGCCTCTGAGAAAATAATTTATCTTTAATAGCAAGTATATGTTTTATATAAAATATATTTCCTACATGTTATAAACAAATTCATAATTAGCATTTTGGTTTAAACAACATACCCTAAAATATAACAGCCTGTATTTTTTTAATTATTTTCTTGTTATTCAAGCACCTAATAGTACAAAAAACATATTTAATAATAAAGGTTACTTTATCTTAGCAGTATCTTTTACATTTATCACCTAGTTTTCTTTTCAGATCTTTATTCTGGTGTCTCAGCTCACCCTTCAGTATCTTAGACAGAAATGTGGTGCAGTGTAGCATTTTCAGTGACCTCCACCCACCTAAGAAAAATATCTTTCATAACAAATATGTACTGAGTGGTATCAAGTGATACCTTCCACCATAAAAATAACTTCTATCTAATCCAATAAAAACTTCACTAACCCTGTGTGCCATTTAGCATGGTATGTATTTGTTGTGAGAGTTATCAAATATTCATTTTCCCTACATTTCTAATTTAGTGAGTTCTTGGTACAGAAAAGTAAATACCCGATAATATACACATTTCAAAGGGAAGAAAATAAGTATTTTTATTCTTTACACAAACATCATCTTGTAGTTACACTTGTAAGACTGACATACTTAATTATAAATATCTTTGCAACTCATTTGATTTTTTGTGTACAACAGACTTGTGCATTTAACTAAAAGCTTGCCACATTTCGTATAAATATGAAGTAAGTCATTGATTCACTAGAAGCAAAACAAAAATAATTATTTTCTTTTATCTAAGACACAACCTACCTCATTGAAATCTTGATTTAAAAAAAAGAAATGATGCTAGGTATGTTAGAAAGGCTTAGAAAACCACTAGGGGAAAATTGAGCTTCTGCTTGGTTATTCAAGTCATATAAAGGAGCATTTCCAAAAATAGAAGGAGATGAGCAGGGTGCCACTGTGTTTGATTTATTAATGAGCAATATCTTAGCAAATGAAGAAGATAAAACCTTCTTATTTTATATTTGAGCTTAATAATATCTGTAATTTGAATCAGTGCTGCATTCAACATATCACGTGACAAACAAAAATCTGTTTCTTTTATATTTACTTTTAAGTTAACAAAGGTATAGTTCTACAGTTTGATACCAAACTTATCAACATAAATTCATGAAATAGTACTTGAGTCAACAAATGCGATGACATGGGATGGCATATTTTTTACTTTGTTTTGCAAGGTGGATTTTTTAGACCCAAGTACAGCTTAGTTACTACATTTGATAAATTATAGTAGAATTCTATGGTATTGATGTAGTAATTTATGATTTTTTAGTTAATTAAAAGTATACATAAAACCTAAAAAAAATATTTTGTTTCATATCCCCCACATGCAAAATTTTTCAAGGCACAGCAACCAAGTACAAATGTTATAACTAGAAGAGAATTGTTTGCTTTACTTCTATGTTTTAGGAAAAATATCTAAGAACCTTTTTCAAAATAGCAATAATCTATAATAATTAAAATGTGACTGTATTTTACAAAATACTAGTAGACTAAAACACAGCCAAGAAAAGTTACTTTGTACAGACCAAAGGTCACCTTTATGTTATTTGATAAGGTAACATGAGTGCACGTGAGCTTGTGTCTTTGTAACTTCTGTATTGTTAGCCAGGCACGAGTGAAAGGTCAATATAATAAATGTATACTGTTATGAGATTTAACCATATTTCCTAATTTTTATGGTGGTTGCAAGATTGGTCAAATTTACCGAAAATAACAGATAAAATATGAAGTTTTTTCCTAAGAAACGTTTGATAACTATTTGGACATTATAAAGACTTGACATGTGAGATTTCGAAATTTTCTGGTGCACAAAAGTATTTTTAATGTTAAGATGAAAATTAATTTATGAGAAAAGAAAAAAGCATGCTATAACAAGCACAAAATGGTTACAAGGTCAGTCCCATGGATGGACCCTGGGTTGAAAGAGTTTATATCCCTTCCTGCTGCTTTAGGGATACTATTCTTATTCCCTGGCACTTTCTACAGTACCACTAGTAATTTAATGTTCTCTTATCTAACCAATTTTACAGATACATGAACTGTATTGAAAAAATAGTATACGTTACTATTAAATATTTTTTTACAAGTTGTTCACCCTCCAATTGGTACAAGCACAAACTTACCTGCTAAATGTATACTGACTCTCAGCTCTGAAAAAATAAACATGATTTTTGAACTGCAATTTGAAGACACAGTCTTTATTGATATTGTCTTGTTCATTTGGTGTTGTAACTTGGTAGCCCATTAAGGGGAGACTGGCTAATGGAAAGTCATCCTGTTGAACAATTAGTATTAATAAAAATATACATTATTTTAAAAACATTAATATCTACCACACAAGATAACATTCATTTATTCCTTTTTTCATGAAATTATACTATATTTAAAACAGTCTTGTTCTACATTCAGCAACTTAAATACAAAAAAAGACTGATGAAAAGTTTGCTGTTAGAAATTCAAACCACCATCAACATTTATTTGTAATACAATTCATATAAAAAAAAAAAACCTCTCATGATCTCTGTAAAATTCTGCTCAGTTCTTTTGTATAACTAATATTATTATGTACTCTATTCTAACAATATTTATTTACTAATCAAAATTACTAGGCCAATGTACCAAAGAGAAAAATCTGTGTATTAGTAATATTACTTCTATGATACTTAAAAGACAAAATAACATGAAATATTTTGGAATGTAGATCTTTTTAGCAGGAGTATTAAAATTTGTTTCTGCTAATTCAATAAATATAGTTTTAATGTAAGAACTCATGAAGATCTTTCATTTGATATAAAATATTTGAAAATCGTTCACAAACCTGGTATGACTTGTAGAAAAAGAGACAAAAGTTAGCCAAAACAACCCACAGTTTCTGCCATCCACTGCTGTTTTTAAATTTTCTCAGTAAATAACCACTCAGTTGGTTCTGATTAGAAAAAGAAAAACACGAATAAATTATTTTATCTATATTTCCTCAAAATTTATATATTTATTTATCTTTCAGTTTGATAAAAGGATCCATTACACTGTTTTGAAGATTTTAAGGACAGCATCTATTTTCAATTGGATTGTTCTTGATGAAAGTCTCAGCACAGAAACCAAAGCATCATCCACCATATTTACAACAACTGGATGGAAGGTTTCCTAGGTGTAAAATGAATTCCATCATATTTACACATTATTTTTTAAGTAACATAGTAAACACTAAAATAAAGAACTCATTTCATATGTAAAAAACGACTTAACCTTTTGGTTTATACTTGCATGTATATAATACATTTTTAATACCAAGATGAAGATGTTAGCTTAACTGTTGGATGGATAAAATTTTATGGAGATTAAATCATTTCACTTATGCATCATATTTTGTTCACAAGTCTCCAAACTTCAAATACTAAACTAATGCAAGTACTCATATTGGAATATTATGGTATTTTATTAACCTTTGGACCCATGTCATGAGATTTTAAGTTATTTTCAAAATTTAAACAACTTTTATTATGTATGTCAAAAAAATTGACATCAAAATATAGTTTAGAACTCAAATTTGAATTTCTTTATTTGAAATAAAAAATTAAAAACAATGGTAAATATCCTTTCTTATTGGTTATTTTATATTGAATTACACCTACCGTATGAAGTATATAGTGGTTAACGATTTAGAAACATACATTTCAGACATAGATAAACTAAAATAAAAAATCTCCCACCTTTTTATTTGCTGAGATATTGATATATTTAACAAAGGTACCAAGGTAGCCCTCCCACTACTACTTTGTTTTGAAACCTCTTGTCTACATGTTTATAACCAATAAAAAGAGCATATTCCAAGTTACAGAATCCTGACAGCCATTTGTAATTGGCCTAAAGGGGAAAGCTGGAATTTTTCTGGAAATGTTGACTAAGTTGTTGCTCTGAACATACATTGTTTTAACCCACACATATAGATTAGTTAGAAAGCCAGGTAAATTACAGTGGTATTATGTGTAACAGTATGATATTCTGATAATTTTTTAAGTTTTCTAAAATGCATCTTTGAAATCTACAACAATTGTCTTCCCCTCTCCACTTGAGAGAATAGACAAGGTTTAGCAAGTATGACATGCAAATGTAAATCGGTTTCATAGCATCACATGTACTAGAAATCATTGTTTTTCTATATATTTTTTATTTATGGTCTACATTTTAAGAAAAATAACTAAAAAGTACACATTTATGAGTAAAAAGTAATAATATATATGTATATATGCGTTCATAAGCACATATTTCGTACACCTATACCACCAAATTCTGACCACCTCAGGAAGATAATTAATATCCAAATAAAATAAGCATAGGAAATAGATGTGAAAAAGTTAGAAGTAGAAATGCTCAGGAGAAGTACTTTGAAAGTTCATGGGCAATACTAAAAAGGACAGAACAGTACTACTCATTTTATTGTGCCCTTTTTGTTTTTTGGTGGTTACCATCATATTTACCAAATGCACAGATTTAGGGTTGAGAAAATAACAGATCAAATGTAAAGTTTTAGTGAAAAAAGAATGTTTGATATTTATTTACATGGTTTAAAGATTACACAAATTAAATTTGATAATTTTCAGATGAAGTATTTTTAGTATTAAATTGAAAATCACTTTGAGCAGTCAACATGGTCCAATATTTAGTAAAATACTAAATTTAAAAATTTGAATTTTTAGACTACAAAAGACTTGTAATATTTACATGAAGATTCACAAAACATATGAAAAGTTAATCTATGGAGGCAGTAGCAAAAGGGTTAAATGACTTTATACTAGAGTAAAACACAAAGGAGGGGGCAAAATAGGAACTCCTACCATAAAATAAAAACTATCTTCTCAGTCTTTTATATTTATTATTCATTCCACCATTTATAAAGCTTTGTACTGTTCAAGACTGAATACTTCCTGAAAGTATCATCACAACTGAAAATATTCATTCCAATGAAATCTAATGCCTTAATCCTAACTAACTAACTAACCACCATAGATTGTCTGAAATCCTCTATTCCGACACTCATGCTTCGATGCCAACACACATGAACAGTTGTAGTTGCCCTGTGTTGTGCCTGCTTCTCACTTGTATTGGTGCTGCCTCCTTCTGGTTGAGCAGGTGGAGTAAATAATGAACGTTGACCATCTATTTTATCCAATAATTCATCAGAGGAACCTAAAAACAAGTGATTGTTATTTTGCACATTAAGTAACCTAGCAGAATTGAATGTTTCCAAGGTCAAGTGATTGTTATTTTGCACATTAAGTAACTTAGCAGAATTGAATGTTTCCAAGGTCTTGCAATGATGCCATTAGTAGCTATCAGTCAGTTTATGTACAATGGTCATATATGTCAGCCATATTAAATTTAATACTAAAAAAGAAGAGAGTTATTTTTAAAACCAATTACAATCTTCTTAAACTACATGTTATACTACAAGATTCTATATACGTTAAATAACCTAGCAGAACTGGATGTTTCCAAGGTCTTGCAATGATGCCATTAGTAATTATCAGTCAGTTTATGTACACTAGTCATATATGTCAGCCATATTAAAAAAGAAGATTCTTAACAACTTTACTCCAGAATCCTCTTAAACTACATGTTTTACTACAAGATTCTATATTTATAATTAAATGTTTTCTATAAATTTCACTAATGGCTTTAACTGTTTTAACAATAGCCTATTTTTCAACTTATGCTCTGAAATGTCAACTTTTCTTCTAACTGACAATTGACTCATAGACTAGGAGAAGCAAAACTTGGTGTTTTTTTTAACAATTTATGCTAACTTGATCAATGACTTTCTTACAAGTGCCTTGTTTACCTTGTGTTATCTAAGTTCACAGGTTATTAAACCTGATTTTCCATTAAATTATTCCTACAAACTATCTTCAAGCCATCTTATATGACTAACTAATTAAAAATTTTATAAACTTGAAAAATTATTACATGCATGTGAGGCCTCCTATATATAAAAAACAAACACATCGAGTGGTCTGCTATTAGGTTAATGTTTAAGTGTAAAAGACAACAGTAATTATCATACCAAAAGGTAAGCAAAAATGGAAACATAATCTCACCATAATATAACAAAAATCAACAAAGCTATATATTTTAACCCACAAAGTACTAGCAATGTCAGACAACACCTGTACTGCAAATTCACAATTCAATTAAATTAAAAAATAAAGAGTCATCTTCAACATACTCAGCTTAAATACAATTACTTAAAATGCATAATGAATTTTACACTTAGCTTTTTCGGACAATTTTTTTTTTTAGCAAGTGACTGAAAAATAACTTTTTTTCAGTGTTTTAGGTTTTTGAACTGGAAATGGCTTTTTTTTTTATTGTTTATTTGTAATTAGGCACAAAGCTATGCAATGGGCTATCCGTGCTGTGCTCACCACAGGTATAGAAATCCAGTTTCTAGTGTTGCAAGTCCATAGAATTACTCCTGTGAAGTTTTAAAGACAACCCTGAGATATAACCTTGTTTTACTTATCATGACAAATTGAACAAAATATTCTAAAGGTTATAAAATTCAAATCAAAACCTATGTAGACACTTATGTAACTATTCCTAATTAACACTGTTAAGAGTTCTCTGGGAAATGGCCTGAAACTCCAGGATCTGCAATCCTTGGTATAATATACTTATGTAAATATCCCAGTCGATTTTTCACAAAGGAGTTCTGCTTCTAAACTACTCTTGGTTGTCTTGTAAAAAATAACAACATGAGTTTTACACAAACCTAAAAACTGAATTTTTCTTAGAATAGTGCTTAACTGTGTACTAACCTTTATACAGTCCCAAACTGGCTCTGAGTTAAGTGAAAGACAATATCTTCAAGAAGTACAAATATTCAAATGATAATGTTTCACATTACTTACTGCAGGAATGTAGACTAGAGTAGAGAAAATTTCCAACCCTCTGATCTCTAGCACAGTCAATAGCTTTTATCAGATCTGTCAACCACTTCTGTCTTTCTTCCTCACAGCTAAAAACAAATTAAATGCAACTTTAAAGTCAAGGAATCATTCTGAAAAGGCTGATTATGAAGTTTAGTTCTTAAGAAAATTATATACTAACTAGCTGGAGTACCTGACACTTGATGGAGGTTATGTAAATTCATGACTAATGAAAGGTTATCTTAGGGCATGAAAAGCTGCTTCCCTAATATGTAATAGTAAAAAATGCAAAACTGCCCACAAGAAGTGCAAAACAAAATATGAATCTGTAACTTTGCATGTATTTTCTGTAAACCTTCATGCCAAATTTGGTGAAGATCTACTAACAGGAGGCAAGGTAGTGGTAAAAAATGCAAAAACACCCATAAAAACTGCAAAACTGAAAATTTTTATGTATGGACTCAATGAACCTTCACATCAAATATGGTGAAGATTCATCTACCGTGGGACAAGTAGTGGTAAAAAAACGCCCATAAAAACAGCAAAACTGATAATTTGTATGGACCTAATGAACCTCCATACCAATTTTGGTGAAGATCCATCCACACTCTGAGAAATACTTGCATGGACATACAACAGACAGTACTATTATATTTACATAGATAAAGTAGTCTCTTTTAGATACGACTGTTCTACCTGCCATTATAAAAAAGCTGCATCTGACAGGAAATTGTTATCCAAAGGATCAATAACTGAGTTCAAGCTGTGCAAGTTGTTATTCCCAGGGGTTGAACATAATGGTTTATATACAAACTGACACAAAATTTATCTCTTAGAAAAAATCGTCCACCTTTGTTTTTGCACATTTAATGAAGTCACTTTGAATGTTCACAAGTCTGGCAGTTATTATATCAAGAAGTGTTTCATTGTTAGTTTCAGTGCAAGATTTTTGTATCAATTTATAAAATAACATGCAATAAATGTCCAGAATTCTACAATAGAGAAACTGGAAGAAAATTGGAAACCAGATTCACTAAACATAGTAAAAAAACATCCAATATTTACCACTATTGCAACTTAAAAACTCACAGTATAGCTATACAAAACACTAATTTTAAACAAAGAACCAAACATAGAAAGCTATGAACAAAACAGCCCCACCCTAAACCAAAATTTCACCTTGAAACTTGGATCCTTTGATCCCAGCTATGAAAAGGGACCATTCCACAAATTTAAAAGAACCAGTACAGAAATATGAATAAATATCTGAACAAAATTATTGCTAGACTCTAGCCAATACTTAATAAGGTAATCCTCTCTGAATACAAATACTACATAAAATGTAATATGTTGCAATAAAATAATTTCAACTGACTAAAAATTCTCTAATTTCCATGTTTCGTTTATTTTGTTGCTTTTGTCACAGCTTTGGTCTGTATCAACATCCACATCATGTTTTTATATCAACACTTCGAGCCTTCTTCTTCACAGAAACTTCCTGTTCTCAGCTTGAGACATTTGCAGCTTTCCCGGATGCCTTGAGGCATTTCATTAGCTGTGCTTACCGCACAGCTTAGTCGAGTCTGTCACAAACTGCGAGTTAATAATCTTCACACCCTGCTAGTAAATCCTAATCAAGTTACTTAACGTCTAGACCACTAGCTTAAAATCTACTACATTCACTAAAAGAATAAATCTTAATTCCAAGAGCAGGGCGAAGACAAACAACAGTTTCCAACTGCCCCTGGTTACCTTTTAGGACCCGAAAGTTTTTAAACCAAAATACCTACATGTATGTACCAAGGAATTTGACTTGAACACCTCAGGGTATACCAAGATACATATACTAGCTGTGACACAATCTGTAGTCATGTGAACTCTTTGTTTCAAACTGTAACAACTTTTTAAGTGCAGTTTACTGTACTAGATTTGCTATAACCTACACTTCCCAAATGACAAAACATTTCCACGTTTGTATTTCGTCTTTTTTTCATAAAACTAGGTTGCACTTGATACACACGTTGACTTGTATCTTATGCTTCTAGCATGGTTCCCAAGTTACAAATGACTTAATATTGGCTCAACTGTCAAGATCATTTTTATGTTGCATAATCTACAGAATAACATTTATAACGATTTTTGAAAGTTTTTAATTACACTTGAAAGAGAAGACAAAAATGTTTACTTCTGATTTTAATGATTGATCCTACATATATTTCCAACATCTAAACCTTGAGTCTACTGGCTTACTCATCAGATGCTGTATGAGATGAAGAGTAGATGATAATTTCCTTCATAAATAGATTCATATAATCATGTTAGCTGGATGACTTCTATCTTGCTGTTTATCTACATAACAGTATTTATTCCTGTTGGCTCTTGATCATAAAGATATACTTTACATTACTGATATTTCAAGTTTGGTGACTATATGCATCTCTGTCCTCAAGCAGTGGTACAGGAAACTAAAAAATAAATGCTGCTGTACCCCAGATCCAGCATGAATACAAAACTGTTCAAAACATTCCTTCAACACACTAACAGAAGTGAAGAACAGTTTACAATTTTTGATTCCACTTTATTTACCTTGCCGCTACCATTAGTGCTTGATTCCCACCATAAACTGTAAAACAGAAATCCATTCCCATCTTAGGCTCAGTTTCTTCAACCATAACACTTTCTAGAGGGAGCTGTCGATGAACCTTGAATTGCAGACGAGGATTGGAGCTTCTGCTTGCATACAGCAGCATATCTGAAAACTATGTAAGAAGATAAGAAGTCAATTGATGTTCATATACTAGAGATAAAAATGTAAAATTACAAATTTCAGGAATTTGTGCACTTTTAAGAAAAACTTGCTACTTTATTTTAAAACCTTTCGGTTCTTATGACTTAAATTTTACTTTGCTTTTGGTTTTTAACTTAAACTGCAAATAATAGACAATGAAAACATTTTGAAGTTTCAAATCTTTCAGACAACCCCTTGAACATCATGAATAGAAAGAAACTATACAGAAATATATACCTATACAGATGCATTGGTTTTATGCATATGTTTACTGTTGTTTCATACACCTGAAATAACAATTCACAGACTTGTTTAAACTTTTCATAGTAAAAAAAATCCCTTTAAAAAGATACTTGAAATGTAATTTTCAAAGATATACTATTTTACTAATAATAAAGTAACTAGGGCAACTTGTAAAGCAACATAATTGGAAAAATGAAATACATATCAGCAATAATAATGACATACAACAATAGGTTAAACAGAAGTTCATGAATAGGAACTAGTGCTTGTTGTTTGTTTGTTGAATTTTACTTAAGGGCTATTTGCAGTAACTATTTATAATTTAGAAGTGACAGACTAGAGGTAAGACAGCTAATTAATAACACCCACCCCACACTGTCAGGCTACATTAATCAAATAGTGGGATAGAAGATCACATTATAATGCCCCGACAGCTGAAAGGGCAAGCATGTTCAGTGATTGAATTCAAATCCACCACTCACAGATAGCAAGTTGAGTGCCCTAACCATCAAGCCATGCCAGGCCCAATAATAAGTTTTTTTATTTCATACAATTATAAATCATAACAAGATCTTTTATCTTTAACTATCCTACTGCTGAAATAATATACATATGGAGAACAAAATAATTAGATGAATAATTTCTATAATAAGAAACAAATAGTTGAGGAAAAGCAATAATTTAAAACCAATTTCTATTAAATAATCAGTGAAATATTTTCATGACTAACCAAGAAGAACATTCTCTGTTGATATCCTTTTCTTGACAGTTTCTGAAGACATCCCTCTCTGATAAATTCCTAGGAGATGTAAAAACAATACCTTAAGTGTTCATACTTGATTAGCATTAACTTCTGGATGCAAATAACAAACATTTTAAAATAAAAAGTGCTTCACAAAATGCTAACAGAAATTAAAAACACAAAATTCAATAAATATGTTGACTAGAAGATACAGGAAATAAATGCTCTTTCTTTCTGTTTGGAGTTATGTAAATTGCAGTAGGAAACACCTATCTCATTCTATGTTCACAAACACAGAATATGGTTGTTGAATAGAATAAAATCTGTCACATAAAGTCAGGCCTCTACCAGAAGCATGTTAGTTTCACTAGATGCATCTTGCTATGATAAATAAAACTAGTGAAAGGATATTGCACTGTAAATTAAGTGTAGAAATAAAGAATAATTACTCTTTCACATATTTAAGAAATTCAAATTTAGTTTACAAAAGCCTCTGACTAAATTATTCTTTGACCTGTGTGATTCACTCCTCACGTGTGTCTGATGTCATGCCTACATTAGAAGGCAATGATGATAAGAAGTAATGGCACTGGAAGTCACAACTATGACATTTTGTAGTTTTATGTAGCATCAACCTAATAAATTTTACAATAACAAAAAACCTCAGCAGTATCATCATACATTCATGTTTGTTTTGTTGTTAACTAGATAATTAAGTAATGTTGACAATACATTTCAAAAGAGAAAAAAAAAAATAACAGAATTAAAATTTTTAGTTCTTGAAATACCATTTTGTGGTGGCTTTTCATTTTAAAATAAGCTTACTTTTTATTTTCATGTTAATTTTTCAGTGTAAATCTTGTGTCGGCTAAGTAGATCTGTGAACCAGATTGTCATGCCTAAGATATTCTTTACTTTAAAAGCTTCATTTTAAAACTAACCTAACATATAACTTTGTTAATACTCTCTAACACATTGTTCATTGAAAGTGGGTTTTAACATAATATGCTGTTTTTATTTGTTTACTCACACACAATAAAAGCTTTATATTGGTTTCACAAGTAATTTTGTAAATGGAACAGCCTCTCTGGCATTAAAGATACTGCATTGTCGTGTAATACACATTTAACCCTTCCACAACCTTTAAGCCACTTTCTGCACAAGTCACTGAGCTACATTCAACCTTTAATTAAACAATTTTACAATCAATTTATGTCAAGGAAATTAACATTATGATGCATGTTATAATTTGAAGTTTGAATTCCTTTATTTCAAAAGAACCTTTAAAAAATACTTAATTTCCATTTTCTTGTCACATACTCTTGAGTTCTGAAAAATCTCACCTTTCACAGCCTCTGTATTGAACAGAATAAACCATAGCTTGTACATTTATGTCTAGACAATAAGTACATTTACTTGCCCTATTGACATTAATAATTCAAAATCTTTTGTTGAATCCAGTAGAAACAAGTAATAAATTTTGCCAACCCCTGACAGGTGCCAAACCCACCATTTGTACTTTGCTTTGAGGCTTACAAGCCACGTTTTTACTACGCATACATGTATACAGTCATTAGAAAGAGCTCATTTCACACTGTAATCTAACAATGGTTGTCTTGACATTCACCCCAAGTTGTCATCATTGGGTAGATGTAACTACTTGTAGTATTGTTGGCTGCTTTGTTCATATAGCATTTTGGTTGTTTCTTACCTAAATATGTTACAGCTAGAGAGACAGTTAAATTGTATTTAGGTTTTACTTTTATATCTTAGTTAATTATGTATTATTTATGTTTTAACATGTCTAACTGAAAGGTTTAAACATTTTTTTGAAGTTATCTCAAACACTGCCCTAGTTCTCAAGGATTATGATCTTGTGCAAGTGCAAGATAATTTTGCCAAAGGCTTGCGCATCTCTCCTGAAGATACTGTAATATGCCCCAATAGCATCATTGACTTGTGTCAAGATGAATAATAAATAGAAAAGTAAAGGACAGGAAAGGAAAATAAAACATTAAAAATAAACTATAAGTGAAAAGATAAAGACATGAAATTATGCATGTGACCCAAGGAAGACATTTTTAGATTATTCAATGAAGAATTAAAAGGTATATACATATTTCTGTTTCTTAATTTTAAACATTGTACTGTATGTTGATGATAATAGCCAGTTAGTGATATGGTAGAGAAAATGAAACATAAACGTTTGATATTCATTTAAGAGGTTTTTAGAGATTATGGAAATGAAATTGGAAAACTGTAAGATGACGAAAAGTATTTTTATATTTAAAATAAAAATCACCTTGCACTCAAACTATTCGGAGTTTGAGTGCAAATTACTACAATAGATAAATAAAATATTTTTAATAGAAAGACTTATTAAAAATAATGTCATTCTTTGTGTGGAAGACACTTAACAAAATTTTATTAGTTTTTGTAAGAATATGTAAAGAAAGCTCAAAATTGCCGTATGTAATGTTGCACATGTATCCTTGGGTGTAACTTGTATCTGCCTGTTGCTAAAGGATTAAGAGCTAAATTAACGAAAATTTGTTTGTTTGTTGCAGAACAAAGCCACATTAGACTATCTGCTGGGTCCATTATGGTGAATCAAACCCCATATTTTAGGGCTGTAAGTCCGTAAACTTACTGCTGTCCCACAAAGGAACAAAAACAAAAGTATTAAATCTCACACTTTATTTTATCATAAAGATCATCCATTATGTGTGTGTCTGTGTGAGCATCCATCACCTAGAGTTGGCTGGTTCAATTACCATAATTGTTTGTATGGCAGCTGGAAATTGTCTGACAGTTTACATGAGCTATTTTGTTTTAGGATTTTTGCCTGAGAAGGAAGATGATAAAGGCCCTTGATATAGGATACATTTCCATTTTTTTTTATAAATGTTTGGCTTGCATCACCCAGTGTTAGCTGCTTGATTGCAATAGTATTTTGTATGATAAGTTGAAACTGCACATGACTGTGTACATGGGCTAATTTATTTTAGACCTTTTGCCCAAGAAAGGGGATAACCAAGAACCTTGAAATACAGCCTATTTTCACTTTTTATAGATTTTTGGTATCCATCAACCACAGTTGGCTAGCTTATTTCCCATAATTTTTTTTAAGGTAACTGGATACTGTTTGACAACATAAAATGGGCTACTTTTCTTTTGGGATTTCTGCCTGAGAAGGAAGGAAAAAAACACATCATTAAATAGGGCACATTTCACCTTTTTATCCACTTTTGGTTTTGAATTGAAAGACATAAGTATTTAATTAGTTAAATAAGTCAAATATTACCTTCCATAAAGCAGGGTATGCAATTAGCATCTAATGAGGTCATTATAAATTTAATAGCATTATATAACATTGTCCTTTATACAGTTTTTGCTTCCTTAACATACCATTCACTACTGGCAAAAACTGCATTTTGCATCCTATTAAGTAATTTTATGCTTTTGTCCATTATAATGCTCAGATTCAGTATAAAGAACTCACAAAAAAAGGTGAAATAGCTACATTTCCTACATAAACTATAACAGGAGATCCAGATGTAATTAGTGGATTAAACTGCAATACTGAAGGCATTTTTGTTTAAATTTCTTGTGTAACTCGCATGTTATTAAGAACCCTATAACAACTGTAGTTATGGCCCACAAGCAATTTGGCGTATTGATATTAGAAGTTTTTTCAGCAGTTTTATGTCAACACATAAGTATCAGCACACTCTTGTTTTAATATACTGGCCCAGAAAATTAATAGAATTGTCATGTTCAAATTTAAAAAGATGTGTTTACAAAGCCAAAGGGACTCATAGTTATATCTACAGTTAACACTAACATTAAAATGTGTGTACATGTATAACCAGAATGTAGTCAGAGTGAAGTTCAGAAGTTTATATAATAGCCTAAAAGATTAATTTAAGCCTAAAGTGAGTGCAAACTTGTGCACAAATGAAATTATATTCTGTGAGGCATATTTTTTATTTCATGTTGTAATTTTAGTAAGTATAGAGAAGTAACAAAATTTAAAATATATTATTATATTTTTTTATCTTAAAATAAAAACAAATAAGTGGCTTCATAGATTGTAGCACATACCATAGAAAGCATACAATAAATGCGATTTTTCTCATAATAAATCACAATCTCTATTTTTCAATTATGTATTCAAATCAAACTGGTTAAACAATGTCTATATAAAATTTGAACTTATCAATGAATAATATAAAAGAAAAATTGTTATACTAATGTTAAGAGAGTATCTAGTAGTATTTTTATGGTATTTGAGTGTTTACCTTCAGACATAAGTATCAATACACTGTTATTTTAGCAAATTTGAATAGAAAATTAAGATTTGTGTTTCAATAAACAATTTTGTGTTCAGACAACATAAAATACATATCTTACATGACCCGCACATAACAGAATGTGCTTCCATAAACAAAGCTTAATAGAATAAAATACCTTTTATGTATGTATAGGAAAACTACAAATGTTGACAAAGTATGTTCCAACTTTTATATAGTAATGTAATAGTTTGAGCAAGTACTGAAACTTGATGTAAATAATGTAGCACAAAAAACTTTAAAACACAATCATACTTAAAAATAGTAACTGCAATTATTTTATTTTAGGTATATTAAATCTAAATCAAAGGTAATGGTAACTATATGTTTCATCAATTAGAACAATTTGATGCACCGTTTAAAAGAAAATTAAAAATCCTGATTCATTTCGACTGCATGAATTTTTAATGGTCAGGTCCTACATATAATTGTTATACTGGTTGCTGCCTTTCTCCTAATTGCTGCTCTCAGATAATACAAATATAGTTGATTTTTAATATTAAGTTATACAAAACTAGAAGATCATTCAAGTAAAGTAAAATGTTTTTGAAACAGTAAAATCCATACTCTTACTGAAAATAACATCTTCACTAATGCACATTAAGATACGTCTTGGAACATTTACAAAAGTTGTAAAGATTTACTGCCACATATCAGAAGAACTTGCTGTTAGATACAGTAACAATTAAATATTTAAAAAAAAAACTAATATACATGTAATAAAGGCCTAATCTACAATTTTCTATCAAGTCACCAGTGAAATCCAATGTAAAAAAACACAGTCTCTGAAAATATTTAAGAATTCATAAATGTCTGTTGAAAAAAAAAGAGTTAAGAACAATATATGTGAGATACACCTACTTAGTAACTGTTTCAATGAATTTTATAAACATATACTGTGAGAGGGAATACTTGTTTATAAATACTAACGTCATTTTGGTAAAGAATGAGATATTATTAAGTTTTACACTGCAGACAGCACTGTAAGTTATCAGCTTGTTTCTTAGATTTCAAATGAAAAATTTTACTGATACCAAAAAACATAAAAAAAAGGATGTTTACCCTGCTAGGTTGTTGAAGATCATCAATTCCCACCATTTCATGGTGTAGGTCCATCAGTTTTACATAGTTTTCCTGGATGAAAGAAAAATTTGGTATTAGGGAAGTTTATTTAAATGTCAGATGTTATTATGTATACAGTGAACATGACAACACAAAGAACATCTTAGTTTTTTCTACCAACTAGTTAGTGAAGCTAGCTGGGGCTACTAATAAAATTTGGAGCTCTGTGACAATCTTTATTTATCTTTTCTCAAAAATAATATAGATTTGCTCTTAAACAGCATGACATAAAATATAATAATAAAGTATTTGACATCTAAATAATTCATAAATTATACTTCCAACACTTTTTATTCATCAGTTTAACACCTAATTCATAAAACTCAAATGCTAATTTAATTCTACTAATTCCCACTTGTCCAATTTGCTAACAAATTTCTACTCAAACTGTATTCTTTACAAGGAATTCATAATGGTTATCACAATACCCTACGGGTACACAGATATTTAAGTTAAATTTGTAATAGTATTAGAAATAAATATCTATACCATTTTTTCTTTAGACATAAGTGTAACTTGCCAACCTTAAATTTCTTGATGTTTTCCAAATAAAATAGAGGATTATCTTTATCTTTTTAAATAAGTTATATAAACCTACACTATTCTGTTCAATATTCCATACTAGAGAAAAATCAATGAGCTGAATGATCCAGAGAAGGGTTTCTTGTAAACTTGTTTTTTTTTGTGTGTGTATGCATTTGTAAACTTAATTTATTTTGCAAGTTACTGAATTATGTTTCTATGATAATCTATAAGCACGTAAACCACCTGGGTTAACCAAAAATGCCATACAAGCTTAACTAAACAACGATTATAGAAATATCAAGAATGTTCCAATTTTCAACTTTGGTCTCTTTCATGAGCATTTATTCTAAACTATGTTCCACTATAAAAATAAATGAATACCAAAAACGTTTCTGGAGAAAAAAATCATGTACGAGCAGTTCACATACAATCTGGACAGCACTTTTTCTACATATAAGAAAAAGTTATAAGGACATAAATATGTGATTTAAATTGTGCTAGTTTACTTGCATACATATTACATGTAGAGTGTTAGAAATAATTACCATTTCTCTTCATATATACAATATAAACTTACCATGGCCTTTACAGTTTCTTTGTATGATGCAGTCACTTGCTGAAGCTTTATCAGAATAACTGGTAATGAAAAAAGCCATCATCAGGCTAACTTGTTGGAGATATGAGGTCAATTAACTTTAACATAATTTATCAATAGCAATAAAGATTACTGTCACATTAAGTGAGAAGAGAAAAAAATTCATATTACAAATTTGAAACACATCATTAGGAATGTATGTGTGAAGTTTTATCACAGTACTTGAAACCAGAATATTTATGAAATATTTAGTTTGGAGATTCATGCAAAGCTACACAAAGACTCTCTGCACTAGCTGTTTCTAATTTTTAACTGATAGGCTAGAGGGAAGTCTAACAAATTTATTCAATAAATTCCAAAAACACAACAAAGTATTTACAGACTAACTTTAAAAAATGTTAAGCTGCAAAAAGAGTGAGGAAAAAACGAGTATTCCCAAAATAATTATATATCAAACAAAACAAGTGTTTAATATATATATATATATTCTTTTGTTTTTTTACATTTTCATAATGGAGAATATCAATGGAGAAATGAATGATCCCTACAACTACAATGTGCAAAACTGTTTACAAGGGTGTCAGAACTTATAGGTCCCATTCACATATGTTTGAAGACTACACACATGTAGTGACTGTAGTGCCATCTATTAATGGGTATAGCAGTCAGAAAAACACACAGGCTCAAGAAGAAACCTGTAACTTGAGTGCTTTTGAAAGGTGGACCTTTCTTCGTCAGGTGCAAACTGGGTATAGCAGTAGCCATTTGTGTTTTGTTCCTTTTAGATTATATTAATATATACATAACAAGGCCCATACCAATGCTAACAACTTTAAATTAATGCAACATTTCAGGATCAATACATGCAGATATTTGTATCTTAGTTTCCCATGTGTTTCCAAGATTCAAAAAGTTCATGTAATTTTAAGTATGCTTTATTATTTTTGAAAATAAAAATATTATACACTTGGACTCGAGAAAAAGGTTTTTTTTATGCTCAATATTGAATGTTTTTATGGCTTTCTCAATCAATTCTTATATTCAAATTTAAGTTAATTCTAGTGTTATTATTACAAATCAAATAATAATTGTCTTGAAGCTCGTGTGTTTACATAATTCATAAAATATGTTTCATATAAAATTTTTAAACAGGAGTGGAATTGCTGGAACTACATTTTATCTGGAAAGAATATATTATAAAATACTTACTCTTGCAATGTCTCTGGTCTGGATGATGTTCTTCATAATGATCAACAAGTCCTAATAGAATGTAAAAAGTTCTGTATATTCAGTACTTCATGTGCCAAAAAAACAATAATTATTTCAAATCTCAACTTTAATTTTACAAATCTTGCTGATCCATGTGAATATACCGTATTTCATTTAGATCTAAAACTATAACTTTAGTATAGCTGCTTATAAAGTACAAAAACCTTATAGTGAATGTGGAATTTAAATTTATAAAATACACTAAGCTTTCTAGAATTTGAAATATATAGTTCTTTTCAAAGTGAAACTATGACAACCTGTTTCCTGAAATAAACGTTTAGAAGAAGAGCTCATTAGAAGAGCTTTTAGCTGCAGCAAAAATTTCAGTCTCATTTAAATTTTTGAAATTAGATAGAAAACCAACTTCATTTCTGTCGTTTTATATGCAGCAAGTCGATTTTCCAAACACATTTGTAACTCGTCAACTATCAGTATAAAATTTTCTATGCAAAACTTATTTCACCTTCAGAAGTCTCATCATCAGCCAGCTTTCTTTTTCTCTTTCTAGAAATCTCCCTCATAAACTGTAATTCTACTATATTTGAAAGCTTAATGAGCTTGAATTTCAATTCTATCGAATGCTTCACATAGTGAATCTACATATGATCTACTCTAAATGATCTGAAAGCAAAGACAAATGATCTCTAAATCATATAACCATGAAAAGTAATAAACCACCATAACTGATTTTAAGGGAAAAAAATGGGTGGCAGCAATAATCAATATAGCAAAATATTAAAAAAGTACATGTATATTAAGAAACAACTGATGACCCAAAATAGTCAATTTAAACAACCATAAAAATTATCACACATTAAAGACAAAACAAAACTGAATATGACAAACAACTCAATATAAGAGAAATCTATAACTTGCAAAAACCAGCAAATATAATATTTAAGGTAACCCAACATACTAAAAGTTATTCTGACTAAATTAAAAATACCTACTAAAAATTTTTTAAAGATTTTTTTGGAAAAATCTGTGTTACTCTATAGTACTTGGTGTTAAAGTTACCACATTATTGAATAAATTTGGTGTTTAAAATATGGTAGGAGAAATGACTTTTCTGAAAATTAAGATTAAGTTTGCAAACTCTGTTTATGAAATCTTGTAATGTTGAACAAGATTTATTGTACTTAATGAGTTGTAAGATGTAAACATAGTAGCATAACTTATATGGGAATATTAGTAATAAATGGAAAGTTATTATTGAATATGTCCATCTCATTAAATATTTTGAAATTGGATTTTGCATTAATGAACTTTTGCGTATTAAAATCTATGTAAAGTACAATATTTGTAATGAAACACGTTTTTTTCTCAGGATGAGTTTTGGCATATAAAAGTTGAACAATATATATAAAAAAACAATTAAGTATAACAATACTTGAAATATACATAGCCAGCATGAAGAAAGAAAGTCCAACAGAAAATTCCATACTAAAACCAGCTTGAGACTGAATTTAATAGTAATGTCAAAGAAATTTTCATTAAAAAAAAGGAAAGTTCAAAATAGAAACAACAAAAACTTAGACAAGTAGGCATAGAAACTTAGACACGAAAGCAGTATTTTTGTTAGCCTAAATAGATTTTTTAATCATTAGAATGAATAAATTGATTATATAAAATCAAAGTATAATTTAATGAAATGAAAAATTTTTTCTTACTTACTCTGCAATATAGCACAGTAAAGTGTCAATCGATAAGCAGGAGCCAAAAGGAAGTATGATAGAGGTAAATAACAAGCTTTCTGCAGTTCAAAGTCACGATATATTTGTTCAAAATGTTGATTGTATTTATAGGCACTACTTATTCTTTCTAGTACCAGAGGAAGTTTCTCAAGATATCGATCATATAGCTGAAAGTGAAAAAAAAAAGAAATGAAATTTAATGGTTAGAAAAAAATTTTCTAATGCTAAAAGTTTTCAAAATTAAAATCAACTTTGAACAGTTACTTAATTCTACATGTACAGGAAGTAAGCCTCTATACTGTTACTTTCTCGATGTCATATCAGGGGCATTACTTAGGGTGAGAGGGGTGCCCCTCCAAGTTCAGAAAGAGGCCCCAAATATTAGTTTCTCTGAGATGTTTCTAGTCAGGCCAGATTTAAGATATATACACAAATTACACCATAGTATAGGGACCCCAACTGAATTGGGGGGAGGCATGCAAAATCAACCTTCTTTGCTCACTTCTCTAAGAAACCAAAGACTCTCTTTTACATCTAGACATGAGCACCTGTTGAACTCAAAACCTGAACAAAAGATTACTACAGATGCATGAACAAATGAAGATGTTTTCTATGTGGTCCTTAACCAGTAAGGTAAGAGACATATGATAGTTGGGTAGTTACATAAACAACCCTAAAAGAGAGGGCAACAATATGTTGAAAAATAGTAACAATGGAAAGCAAAGTTCCCAAGAGCAGACATGTAGCCAATCTAGAATATTCTGTAAATATGATGCCCCCCAAAAAAAAGGGCAAACCAAAAGTTTGATAATGAGAAAGCACTGATTCTGATAGAAACTTACTAGCCATCATATTTCAAGTAGATAAAAAACCATATAATCAGTAATACTGATGATGTCAATTGGATGCTAAGGAGGAATACAGTATGCAAAACCTTTCTTCAGAAAACATTTCGGACAAAACGAAAAGCATCCTCAGACAAAAGCTGGACAAAATAGAGATGTCCTAAGAATGAATTCATTAAAAAAAAAGAGCACCCACACAAGATTAGGTGATTCAAACCCTATGGAATGTGCAAATAGTATATAAGGTGACAATTTGTCTAAATGACTGTCCAAGTCATTCAACCTCTGAGATATATGAAAAATTTCAGAAAATAAGGTGTAAACAAAGACACCAACTAATGTATAAATATAAGAGAAACGTATATAACATCAGTTCCAACAAATAAATGGCAAAATACAAGAGAAAGAAGAAAATTTCAAGCCCTTGTTTTAAAACAAACAAAAATCAAGAACTAGGCCCAACAATTCAGAAACATAGGAAGCAGAAATTTCTTTGCCATGGTCAATAGACTCAATAAGAAATTGAATAATTCAATAAGTGGCACAGACACTCAAAATCCTCTAGATAGATTAGCAGTAGTACGAGAGAAATGTCCAATGGGTGAAAAAAAGTCACTTCAAGTAAACTTAGCAAATCAACAGATTTTTCAACATGAGAGGTGGGTCCAAGAAAGAGAATTATGAGTAAAGATTTATTTAAGTAATACACCTTTTACACCACAATTATTTATTATTGGAAAATAAATAATATTTTGCTACATGTTTCAACCACATTTGTTCAAGTCATCATCATCAGGCAGAATGCAAGTAGATGAGATAGCACTATATATATATATATATATACTGTATTTAAAAACTTGTTTTTAGAACATGGTGCAAGTAAAACATACCAATCAATATACACACATCATACATACATACAGTAAGATGTTGAACAAATATATATAAACATATACATGTCCATACAATACCAATTCAAGTACAGCTGGAGAACTTAAATTCCAACATCTTCATTTTTATTTAAAGCAAAATCTCTGTATTCAATTATTTTCATTGACTGTCTACATTCAGTTCAATAATGGTAACTACTCATGGAACAAGTCAATTTGATCTCATCCCATAGTATGAAGAGGTAGAAATTAATGGCATGTTCTACTACACATGATAAAGTGTCATTTTAGTATTTTACAGTTAGCTTTCATTCATTCAAATGACATTTTAGCTTATGAATTGTCTGTTTGATATAGAATTTGTTCTGTTTTTGTCCAAAGTTACCTTTTAATGAAGGTAGATGATTACAAACTGTATTAAAAGATCTGTAAGGGATTTGGCAGTCCATATATCTTTTAATGAAGGTAGACGATTACAAACTGTATTAAAAGATCTGTAAGGGATTTGGCAGTCCATATATCTTTTAATGAAGGTAGATGATTACAAACTGTATTAAAAGATCTGTAAGGGATTTGGCAGTCCATATATCTTTTAATGAAGGTAGACGATTACAAACTTTATTAAAAGATCTGTAAGGGATTTGGCAGTCCATATCTAGAAAAAAAGTCTTCCTATTTGATTTCAGATCTTAGACAAATAAAGTAGGCAAATATTGTTTTCTTTTTTTTGTATAAAGGTGAGAGTTTTATGAGGTTAGACAAGTTTATTTCACAAGATATCTTATTAACAGATTTATCAATGATTATTGGGTTGTATCCTTTATCTATGGCCACATATTTTAGACAGCTGATTTCACAGAGGTCAACAAAATAAGTAAGAGACGCAAGTTAGAGATAGAACACACCAAGTTTTTGAGAAAAAAGGTTGACAAGAATCTACATGTGATAATATCTAAAGGTAAACCACTGATGTTCTCTATGGATGTAGAAAAATTTCTATTGCAGCATTTAAGACAGCCATGAGCTCCAAGACCACACCTAAAACCAATCTGAAGCAACAACATTACCTGAAAAGTGAAGGTAATGGATGTAAAATAGGGTTCTTCAACTTAAACTATTTCAATGAAGTTGAACATATTTCCTCATACCATTACTGATATGATAAATAAGAGTTTGAAATTAATGAAGGGCTACAAGCCAAAAATTCTCAAGTTACATCTGAATATCACTGTTTATTTTCATGAGAAAGACAGATTACAAAAACTGAAACCATTGCAATTCCCTTCGATCAAACACCTAGTAAGTCCCTCAACACAGTATCATTCTTAAGCTGTACAATTAACTTTCAGAATTAAAATAAAAAGTTTAAATATGCACATGATACATTTGTTATATATAAATAATGATATTTAGCATTAACTACATGTACCATTAATTGTACATAGCTCGTAGCCTTTATCAAACTTCATGTACAAAGGAATAAAACATTTCTATTTACCTCAGTTATATGAATATTCTGAAAAAAAATGTCACCAATTCCAAAAAGAGGTGTGTGGTTGGTATTTCCTCCTTTTCCTTCCCTTAAAACAAATGGTGGTATTGAATAAAAGAACTAAAACATTCTACATATGCATGTACAAAGATATCACAAATGGACTGTGATTCTCAATTATGGTAAATAACAAGTTTCTCTCCACATGTTTACTATTAATTGTTATCAACAGAATGAATGATAATCCAATCCCAGTAATCGTAAACATTTTAAATTAATGAACAAAAGCACCAATTTTTACATTTACACATTTACCGTGTTTATAGGATCAGTATATCTCTTGCAGTGCCAGTCTGATCCAAAACAACATAAAGTAGTTGACTCCAAAAATAAATTTTTTATTTTTGCACATTATTTCAGAAGATCCATAAATATTTGCAGAGCTATATAAAACTGATGTTATTTTTTATCAGTTTAGACATTTTAAAGTATTAAAATGTGCAATAAAAATGATTCATCACAAGTAGTCTCTTTACTAAAGGTAAGCAGAAAAATAATAAAGCAAACCTAAAAGATGGAGTATTCTTACTGAAATGATAGATATGTAACCTTTCAAAAATTATTCATATTTGTTAAATTTCATAATTACACAAGTCATTTTTCACAAGTGGTTAATATGTAAATAGTTTTTTTTACATAAGAACAAAATAAAATAGTTAAAAACATAATTATTCTACCAGAAAAATACCTAACAATTAAGACTGACGGCATGACATGAATGTATAATCAAAGATTACTAAAAATCATAACTGAATTTATAGGATCTTGCTGAAAAAAAAAAGAGGTAATTATTTTACATCAGTTGAATTACAAAACAATTTGGTATCACCGTTATAGCCACAACCATCTTGAGGCTGGAGTCATGCACAGCATTACTTCTCAGTTATATAAAATATATCACAGGTAAATAAGCCTTAAAAACCCACACTGATTACAATGATTAACTTCACTGAAAAGGTTATATAAAATTTCTTCAAATGCATTCTTAATGTTATTCCTCTTTAAGAGCAGAATTACAAGACAGTGAGAAGCAAGCTTTGAAAAATATCTGGCACAGTCCAACTATTGTGGAAATAAAATTGTTCTATTACCTTTTATTTTTCTCTTGACTCTCCAAATGTGAATATATATCACAAAAACCTCAATAGCTCTTTAATAATAAAAACCAATTTAACTTTGTTTTGTTTAAAAATACTGCAATACATGTAATGTTTAAATTTATTCAGTATGTGCTAATACATCTAGATCTAAAATAAAGGCAAATCTAACCAAGTAGACAATCGTTGCTCCAGATCCCTCAAAAAACCACAATGAAATTCATAAAGTGGATCCAAAATTGAAAAGAGAAGAGCAAGGACCTCAGTGGGCATGTTCTCTTCTTTACTAACTTCCTCTCTAAACCACTGAAAGAAAAAAAGACATGAAAATAACTCCTAATAAGATAACAAGGTATTTTCGACAGCTTCAACATGATCCATACGCAGAAAAAATATAATGAAATCTGAAAATTTATTAAGCTAGTTAGAATTCCCATATACTGTCATTCTATTTGCAAAGACATAGATTTGGTGCAAATGATACATAATTTTGTTTGGTGATTGCAACAGAATGGATTGACGTTGTTCTACTCATCTATGCACATACTACTATCTATCCTAACAGATAATAACTGTCAGATAAAAAACACAGATTCTTATGTATGACAGTTGGAGTAGCTGAAATTACATAAAAATAAAAACTATGCAAATGGTCAGTGAGCTTCAAGACTAGTATATTATTTTTCTTTTGGTTTAGGAAAATTTTCAGACTTTGCAAAAATATATATTAGTAATATTTTAAGAGACTGAAGAAGTTTATTTGGAAAATTTAAAAAAAACTACTTTGTTATTATTAAACTTTAAAAGGTATTTTCACTCACAATATTAATTAGTTCCAGTTCCTTTTTGTACTTCCTCTCTGTCATCAACAGTTCTTTTGCTATGAAGTATGCAATGTCTGGAGTAGTTTTCTACAGAATATAAAGTTAATAGCAATAAAAAAGTTAAGTGGTTTATAATAACAGTTCCTTTAAACTGTATTGCAATTAGGTGTTTTTTTTTGTTTTGTTTTTTTCCAATTGAGGAAAGTGTTGCCATTGCTAGTCAAGTAACTTGCTAAAATTGTCATTGACTTAAAGTTCCTTACTTTTTCAGGGTTAAAAATCACTAGGCGTTATAAGTAAATATTAAGATGTACCATTTTCCTTGTTTGTTCACCTAATTATGTTGCAAATTCCAGTATATTATTCATCACTATTTAGTGATTAGAGAGATACATTTAAAAAATGATGAAATTGTACATTTAAACAAAATCATAGAACCTTAAACATACAGAAGTAAATCAGTAAACAAGTACTAACTGACTCCTGGATTATTTATTTTAGTCTTTCTAAATTGATACAAGTATTTCTATCCCACATATGCATGCATTCTCCGGGAGAGTAATGATTTTCGAAAAAATGCATTAAAAACGAAAACAATACTACAAATAATCAATAATCAAAATAGAATGCCATGCTTAAGCTTGCACTTGAAATTTGTAGACTTATGACATTTTATGGAAACCCTGCACAAGAGGAAGAGGGGGGAATGACATGATGGTCCTCCAAATAAACACTGAAACATGATCATTGTTAAGAAGCAGAATAAAAAGCAGACAGTGCATGATTGTTAACAAAAAATGTCAAACTTAGTCATTGCTTCCAAAAACTGTTACTGGCTTTCCATTATGCTAAGTTTCACTTACTAGTAGCAGTGCAGTCAATGAATGAAGAAAAGTTTTGCAATAAAATTCTTAGAAAAAAAAATCAAAAAATTCTCTATCTTAATATAAACTATTAAAATTATAATCAGCTTTGAAAAACTAATCGTTAATTTTTTTACTTATCTTCAATATGTAATAATTTATTTTTGTTTGTTTTCTTGTTGTTAAACACAAAGTTTCACAATGTGCTCTTTTTACCATAGGTACTGAAATCAAATGTTTAGTGTTATATGTCCTCAGTCTTACCTCTGAGCCACCAGAGGGCTATACATTTTGTGAATATAAAAACACATTGTTTGAACACAGATTTTATCAAATGTTCTGGAATACTGCTCTTAATGAATTTTTTAACAGTGATTGTTTTCTGAAGTATTCAAAAAGAGACAAAAATTTGATAACCTCAACATTTTCAGAACCTAGACAATTCATCGTGTGTGAATTGAAGATACAGCATATTGTTATTTATATCTTTATTAGTATTTATCCACAGTTACTTTCTCATGCTCATAATGATAAATATTCACACTTAAGGCAATTTTATGGCACGAATTATACTTCAAATACAAACCTGTTTCCTCTTCTCTGAATTTGTTTCAGGAGAAGCTAGAAGGTCAGACCCATTTTTCACACCCTTCATAGGGGTGATAGGTGATTGGGTAAGGTCATCAGTACTAGAAGGGACACACAAGGAGAATGATGCTTCACTTCTCACAGTGCTTCCATCGCGACAGCTTGTAGGACTGACATTACCCTTTGTTGACGAATGGTAAAAATAAGGAGACTCTAAACCTGGATAACAATGTTTCATAAACATTAGTTTTTTTGTTTTTCATCACCTAAACTTGCTGTGGTGCCTAAAAAATATAACGAAAATCTACAATTTTTTTTAACCTAGCTAAGAATGATTGAAAATAATGGGCTAGAAAAAATTTAACTGATATTTTATAGTTTGGTTTCAATATATTCATATGTATATTCCAAATATTTTTAAGTAAAACATTGTTAAATCTTAGTACTCTGATTATGTTAACTTAACCAATCAAAATTTTTAACCGTTTACATTAGATTTAATATTAAAGATAAATAAACACTGTAGTATAACTTGTTAGCATATGTTAAGCATACTGAAGTGATAAAAACATTACTATTTCTCTCATTTTTTTGGTGTAAAGTCAGAAAAGACAATTTATATGCACTGTATAATTTGTTTTTAGTATTATTCAATAGAAATCATTGAATGTGTTAAATTTTATAAAGAAATTGTTGTAATGTGATTATAAAGTCACCAAATCACATTAAGAAAACTAATTTAAGTGGTTATGAGAAAAGTTGTTTGAAATGTATAGTAGTGACTGGTTCATGAAGCTAGAAAAGCTACCTCTGTGTCTTTCAGTGTTGTAAAAGTTGTAAGAGGAGCTGGTAGTGCGTCTAGGAGTTATAAAGGTAAAGATCATATGTTCAGAAGTTTCTATAGCAGAACACTTACTTAAGTAATAAGTAGAAAGAAAAACAATGTTTCAGAAGTTCCTAGAGAAGTTGCTAGTGTGATAAAGTTCCTAAAAAATCCCTAGGGAAGCCAGTTTGTCAATGAACTTAATTTAGAAATTCCCAAAGAATCAAAAAATATAATTATAGAATTACTAAAAGGCAAACTTCATTTGTATATTTTCTATATCAATACAAGCATTATTATGTTTTATGTAAATACAAACACAACTGTCTTTGATAATTATGAACAATGAACAAAAAGATAAAACTTGTGTTGACCAAGTACAAGGGAAATTTGATGAATTATTGAATAAAACAAAGACCAATAAATATCTAATACAGTAAAGAAAAGTTCAATTTTGTAATTAATATTTTGTACCATGTATATAAAATTGTTTATCTATAGTCTAAATTCATTTAGATGTCTAACTTAAAGGTTTACAGTTCAATAAGAGCTTGCTCAAAAAAAATCACCCATCCCCTATATTCATATATCTGTAAATAATAGCTTCATTATCTATATTTAATTTGTTTAATCTCATTTGTCAGAACTACTAAAAGCCTAACCTATGTATTTCTGAAGTTCCACCTACTGCACCTATTTCTTTATAGCCAAATATGCTGCATGACCATCAAATAAACCAGTTTGAGAGAAACACTTAATAAATGGAATAGGTTCAGTGTAAATATGAGAAATATGTTACTAAAATGTGGTTGGCTGATATCTGTAATGAACTTGCATTTTCAGTATTTCAAGTTTTCTGAAAAATAAGGTGATACAGATGTGTAATAAAAGCAAGTAAAAAAGGAATGATGAACCAGAAATCTATTGACATATATAAATATCTAATTTGAAAATCATTGTGAAGACACTTAGTACATGAAGTCAATTGGAGTTTAAGTAAGTTGAGAAATCATTGAAACTTTGAAAGTGATATAATCATAAAGGTAAAGAATTTCAATTTCATATGTGGAAATGCATTTGATCTAAAAACAATGTTCTGTTGAAGTACATATTTTTTTAAAATTTGAAACAATATTAATTTAACATTAACACACAACTTTCCCTCTAATCCTTATCCTTCATCAACCAAAAAGTAGATTATTTTAACATGAACCCTATAACAATGAGGTACTTACCATTCTATCAAACAATTCTTTGACTCATCTTGTGTGCAAATAAATGCAAATCAACAATTGTTACAGTTAACATTAAAAGCTTTATGAAAGTGCATTAATATAAACCATATCAATGATCAATTAGTAGCTAAAACAGTTTCATTTTCAACATTTAATTTTAAAAGACAAAATTTTTAGTTTTTGTAAAAGGTCTTTAGATTCTTATAAATATCTTGAACATAGGAACTCATACCAAAGGAAAATAATCAATTACTTTATCGTTTTACTTCATAAATATAGTAGTACCAAGAAACAAATAAAAGGACACTGATTTTTCTACCACATGATAACATAAAATTAGGAAATGCATGTTTAACTGATGCATGTCTATTAAGCCATAATTCAGAATAGAAAACATGATTGAGTATGCATCCATGTGTAAAAGTACATATTAAATTTGAAATTATTTAAATACAGATTTATGTAATAATGTTTTATAATTAAAGCATCATCTTCACTGAAACCATCCAGTTTTTACTATTCACAATAGGACACATGAACCATCTGAAAAATGTGCTGTGTTTTTACTTGGTGTCCATGGAAGTGTTGTATTTGGGTGTTTTCAAAAGAAATATATACCACAAACCCATTTTAATGTAGTACTATCTTTATTATAAAACAGGATTTTACAAGCTTCTATATTTCTCAGACTGGTGGATATCATGTAAAGTTTAGTGATGAATTTTTGATAAGCTTACAATCAATCCTACAGCTGACAATGCTGGCTAAAATACCAGTAACAATATCAATAGCAAGAACCAACCAACAAAGCCAATCAAGTGTTGTTACAACCAATAATGTCACTGCAAATAACAACCACAGGTAACTCTGCCATACAAAACACCAACTGATTTTGATTCTTTCTGACACAATGTATTAATTATATTAAGCAATAAACATCAACTGATTAAGTACACAAAAAAGTACTTATCTTGTAATATTTTCCTCATACAGAACTATTATTCTTAGATTCTATGACTGTTAAATACTCATGTACTTAAATGGGGATGTAAAATACATATGACTCAAAACCAGTTTTTAGCAGAAATCATCATCAAAAACAAATGTTAACAACAAAAAAATAGTGTTCCGAGATGTATCTTATGTATCATCTATACCAGCAATTTTCAACCCATGGGTTTTGACCATCAGAATGTGTGAAAGGGTTGTGAACAAATTTTAAAGATAGATAATAGTTTATTTATTTACTTAGTAATCCAACGACTGCTAAAACTTTATTCAAAAACTGTTAATGTATGACTTAAAATAGATATTTTGTACATATCACCATTTTAAGAGAGGGAGTTATAAGTTACTGCCATACAAGCTTAAGTAACTTCTTTTTTATGCAAATTTTTAAGCATAACCTGCCACACCATACTTAAAAACACTTTCAAATAATTCTATGCCCTAACCAGAAATACTAATTAAATGTGGGGTATCCAATAAAAATTAATATATAGTTCATATACTTGGAAATGTATAATAAAACAACCTGTTGTTTTTTCATCCAGGAAGTCATACTATTGTGTGATACATCCATATTGAACTATTTATATGTATAAATAGATTTTTCTTATATATAATGATATAAAAAAGCACATAAAACAGACCTCAAGGAGTATAAAGCACTATATCGGTTATATAACTCATTATTATTTATGTTAATAATGTTGCAACTAGTTTTCACAATAATCTGTTCTGTAGTTAAGAAAGAATGCCTGATTAGTATACTTCTTAATCAGTTAAAATTGCTGTTTTTTTTTCTAAAAGCTCAAGTTTAAAAACCCATGTAGCTTGTCACGTTTATGAAACAAATACACAGCAAAATCCAAAAATTCTTAAACTGATAGTTTTTTATACCCAAAATTGAGATTCATTTATTTGTTTTCAAATACTAATAAACATACACGTGTTGATACTAATAACACCAAAGAACAAGAAAAGGCTTTGTAGGTAAAACCTGTCAAAGTAATCTCAATCATTATATATTTCAATTCTATGATACATTTTCTTGTACCTTTTTCAAGCATAAATAGCTTTTAAATAATCAGCTTCAAGCTACATGCAGGTTCTGAATACATGACAATTCATCTTAAATAACTGTGCTATAACATAAGAAATAACATAAACCGTTTTAAGAATTTAACAAAAATACCTCAAACACACACTTAAGAACTAAAAGTAAGTTTCCTATGTAGAAAATATTTACAGACAGGAACAAGTATAAAATTAAAGAGTCCAAAAAACTGATGATTTTTTGTTAATTATATCTTATCATATAGATACACATGATTAGTACACTTCATGACAGAATCAAAATGTACACACTGAAGTTAAAGTTATTTTTCCTTACAAATTTTTCATTGAGATTATTAGGTACATATGATACAAAATGAATTGGACCTAAAATACTACTACAATGATCCCTTTTAATATTAAGAGTACCATTTGTATGTGGCTTCTCACAAATACACTACTACTACTACTACTACTACAAAAAAAAGTCAGAAAAATCAGTTATTACAAACTATTTTATTAATTGGATGTTGACAGTATTTATAGAAAAAAAGTTTATATATAAATTCTAAACAGATGAATTATATAAAATCTCATATATAACGAGGAACTTTCAAAGCAACCACTAATATTGGCAACCCTATAGCTTATAACTCTACTAAACTACAATATATTAATAGTAACAAAGACTAATGAAAATGACAAGAATGCAAAATTACTATATCTACACTGATACATATAATTACCATTAAATCAAAATTCAACAATATCACCAACTTCTTAAAAAATTAATCAAAATATCACACAGAAATTGCTTGAAATGTTTAGGTTCATTATAAGTGAAAATACAATCCCTTCTAATTCATTTACTATTAAAATAGTATTTTAAGTTATTAAATTATTACTCTTTGTCATTAGCTATTTATACTTACTACCATATATAATGATAAGTACATTCTGTCTCTGTCACTTCATTCACAGATTATACATTTACCACAATACCATTTAGTCCATGTTTGTCCACAAATCCACCCTGTCAGTATTTCCCACCAAACACATATATATCACATATACTTCATTTTTGTATAGGCTAATCAAAGCTT